GATAGACTCACACCTGGGCTTATCTCCAGGCTGCAGCCCCTTCATGGCCTCAGCTGGTGCTGCCGCTGCGTCTGCCGCTACACTGAGGCAGCCATTAGTCCCATCAGCCTGATTATGGCAGCAAAATGCCAGCTGGTGTTTTATCCAACAGTAAACAAAGACAAATACCACAGAGCAGCTCAACCACCCCAGCTACCACCCACTCAATACTTGTGATGAGCCATTCACTGCCCTGGGCATGTGTTGTACAGATTCAACAGATTGATATGAATCAATTCTCATTTGTCAGGCAGGCTCTGGAGGTGCAGGTAGTATTAACATTGCAGCTCTTCTGTGGCTGTATGGAGTCAGCATTTCAACAGTATGTTTTCTGCCATGCTATACATTCTGCTCACACTCTCGCTATGGTGGAGGAATCCATCTCGCTGTGGCTTGACAACAAAACCATTACCCTCTCACCTCCAGGGAGAAAGACAGTCCAACTCTAACTGCACAAAACTGCACACAGCGGAAAGGAGAGAGTGGCTCAGAGAGGAAGATAAAGAGAGAGAGAGAGAGAGAGAGAGAGAGAGAGAGGAAAGAGAGGGGCTCAACATGTAGAATAAACAACTGCCTGCATGTACAACAAAAACATCAAGAACATCACGCATCCAAGTGAGCTCAAAGTTGTTTGTGTACAACATAACTTACTTGACTCCCATGGTAGTGAATCCAATATTCCTCTCCACAGATACAGACTTCCTGTCTATGATGCTGTCAGGATGGAGCAAGCCTTCTGAATCACAACATTTACAAGCTCATTCGTGCTGGGCAGCAACCCTCGTCCTGCTCTGTATGTTTATCCCCCTGCCATGTGGGCGAGAGCGACTGTGCTCAGCAGACCCCTCCGCTCCACATAATCTGTCCTGCCTATTTGTCAGTAACCGGGATCCCTGCTGTCAATCACAGCACAGCCAACAAAACAGAGCACTGTCCTGCTTTGTCTGCTTTGAGCCGCTCTGTATTGATCACCCCTCTAACAGGAAAGATGTTAGAACTACTAGCTTCACAATTGAAAAACAAACAGGATGACCTATTTCCTTATGGGAACTTCATAAACAATCAAACTATAAACTGGTTAAACAATGTAATTAAGGAAGGCAGCCAGCATGTGTTGTTGCGAACAAGAAAGAGCACTTGTGATCCTGCAGTGCGTCCACTTTGTAACACCCAGGATTCATTATTGAAGAGATGCTTGTCCCTCTCCCTCTGACTAAATTATAGTCCAGTGGAGTAGAGAGGGCTATTTCAAGTTCCTGATTTCCAATCTCCACTTTTGAAAGAAAAAAAAAACACTCACATTTTATTCCCACAAGCTAATGACTTGTTTCTATGGTTACTCGGTGCAGCCTGGGGGATGAAGGGCAGAGTGAGTGTTGCTGACACAAAGGCAGGGTCTTGTGTGTGCAGGAGAAACAGAGGCTAAATGGCCCTGCTGCCACAATTACAGGAGGATTCCTTCTGCACAATCACAGTCATTACCGCGCAAACCCTCACCTGGGCAGCAGCTGCAAGGAGGCGATGGATGACCATAAAAACACTTCCTCCTGACACTCCTCCAGGGCCGCATTCCAGCAAACAGCTGTCCGCCTTGCCCCTGCAACAGCCCGCCCGCCAGCCTTTGTGCCACCTCCGAGCTCTGAGAATCTCTGCAGACTTTTTGTGTCTCCAAGGTCTTCCACTCTCTCATATTCATTACCTCCATGTATCTTTAGAGTGAGTAAATCCTAACTCTCCAGAGTGTGATTAGTGTGAGGTAATAAAATGAATTGGGTACTAAACCTTCCTCCAAACAAACATAAACAAGGGACCAACAGCGGACCAAAGAAACTGTCTCATGCTGATATGCAGATATGAGCATGCCTAGAAAGTAATGTACAAAGTGAGCAGCGGACTCCTCTTAGCAGTGAGCTCTGAGAAATCCCGCAGGCACAGTGGGTAATGAACACACCGGCACAATCAGCAGGTGTTAATGGAACAGAGAGATGGGTAGGGGGATCAGCAGGGCCGCAGTTAGCCTCACCGTCCAGCTCCTGCTGTGAGCTCCGCCTGCCTTCATTACACAACGCTGTGTCAATACACTGATCATATGCTCTGTCACAAGGCAATCAGTGCTTAACGTGCTAGTCAGCTGAACACATGGCTCTAAATTCATTTACCCCACCCCCAGCTATACTCTGACAAACACACACACATAATTATATGCACACATGCACACACACGCAAATCCGGTCAGAGTTTGACCCTTGACTCTTCCTGTCTCTCTGCGACTGTATAGTCAGTCTAATTGCCAATTGGTCATTACTGACCCCGGGGTCATCTCTTTGCTTTACACAATTACCAGAGACAGGAAGCAGGATTATACATGTATAAAAGATACATTCATCCTGTGAGTTAACACCTTTTTCTAGTTTCTGAAAATAGAGGCATCACAAGATAACATCTATAGACAGACTTTTATTGTCAAATGTTTCCATGACCAACAGTGCAGACAGTAGAATCCCATTCTTATTAATTTCACAGTCTGGCATAAGGTATAAGAGTTAAGCAGTCTGATACTCATGTGTACAAATTAGTAATTTCTTCCCTTGAATTAATAACTACTTCTTTAAAATTAATCATTTGCTCTCCACAATGTATAATGTGTCTACCCATATAACACTGACAATCTGTTATTCCATGAGTTTCAGGGGAGTGAAAAATTGAAAAGATGGTGTTCAACAGAAAAATATAGAAAGTATAAATACTGAAATTAATGGATTAACTTAATACTAAATAATATGATTAAAATAATTCAGTCGTTTATTAAAAAAAGTCCTTATTTTGAAAGAATTTCAGAAATGTGTTGAAAATTGGAAAGCTAGTTGACGGCAAAATATTAAGGGGCATAAATTATTATTCTGTGGAGACACATTACTAATTTGTGCACAGAATTGGTTAAGAATGTGACTCTGACCTTCTGGTCGAATTGACATTTATACTAAAGTGATTTTTCAACTCAGTAGACATCCTAAATGAAACAAATTAAATGCTTTTTTTGTGCCCCGTTGAACGGTTGACTTATTTTTGCAATGAAAAATGTAAACGTTGAATCGCTATTGTTCACCATGCTCTTCTTTTCTCTCAGCAGCAGACTTGCTAAAGCAGTTAGACTCTGGCTAATTGCATTCTAATTAAAATTTCATCTCTGAGTGGAACGGTGTTAGTGAATGTCAGACAAGTGTCTGAGGAGCTCTCTCTCCTCCATTGGGGTAGAAACTGCTGTTTGGTTATTCCGCTCCTACTTCCTGGGCTCTCAGGATTTACACATGCATCCCACTAATTGTATCTTTTGTGAACAAAGAGGAATACTAATCAGATATGAGTTTTCAATTAAGTCCAAAACACTAAGGTTTTTTTTTCTCAAAACAAGAAAGTCTGTTGATTGACTCAATTTATTTCGACTTTTAGGGATTCACATTTCAATCAGCAGCGGTATATAAGAAGACAAAATGAAGACAACAAAAGGATGATGATGGTGATGATGATGATATTCCTGTTGCAGGCAGCTGGGGAGGGTCAGGAAACGGGTGTGAGCTTCAAATCAAGCGCAGTGCATCTCCAGGACCCTTTACTTTACTGTAACAGGGGAATGTGATGCAGTTTGAAGCCGTCATTATGTTTTCTGGGCCAAGCAAAACACCACATTCTTGGCAGCAAATTATCTTTGGGATGAAATAAAAGGTGGAACCGTTTACTGCGCTTCCACCTCCACCCCCTCTGCCCCACCAGGACCTGCTGCAAGGGAAAAAACAAGTCCACCTCCCTTTTTTTCCCCCTGCACTGAGCTTTATACGCTACTCTTTTTGAGCTCAGGTCCAAAGAAAACATGAGAACTAATAAATCAATGTCAGGAATTAACCCCGTCTAGCAGATGTCTACACCTCTCTGTTGTGACAGGAAGTGGTGTGAACAGGAAGTTGCATATTTAGTGGAGGATCTGGAATGGGTAGGAATGTCCCCATTAGTCAAAGGATAGGCCTCATGGACCCACTGATATACTCTGACCCTGTGAACGCTGGCAAGACAAAATCCATTTGGGGTGCTTGCAGAAAAACTGAGCCCCACAGTGTTCCCCCATGGGCACCCTGTCACACTCCACAAGTCCCTTCACCTCCTGTGGTGCAGAGCTTCAATAGTCCTATGCATCATCCTTAGCCAGCTTCCCATTTGCAAGCATTCATTATGGTGTAGCACTCCTTGGAGAGAAGAGGCAGGGAAGGTATGCACTGACCAGCCTGCCAGGGAATCTATCAATGACAATATAGCACATTGCACCCGCCTGGAGAGGGTGAAGTATTCTCCGGGGCAACAACAACGTCAGAGCCAAGCAGTGCTGAAAAATCCTCGCTTAGCCTGAAAAACATGGGGACCAAATGGTTTCACAAAATAATGGTCCTGCAAAGCTGCAAATCCTGAAAAGTCATTTTAAAGTCGAAGAAGCGAAACAAAGAATAACTAAACATCAAATACCTCAGGACAATACTTGGCTTTAACGTAAGCCCCTTTCGTGAGACACCCCCTCTTCATATCAAATTATGTAATTCTGTTTTCCATTCACGAGCAGTGATGCATGTAACTAAAGGTTCATTTAGTCCCATGATGGTGCGTATCTCAGGGAAATGCTATAATTCTACCATGGCAAAAACAACATCTCCATAGAATATGTGCCCCACAGGGAACACCATGAACCACTGCCTTCGACAGACATTGGAAGGCAAGTCTGTGCACATCTCCTATTCAGCTTTCCTTTTGTAAACACACACACGCACACACACTTAAGCCTGAATTCATGCAGGTGTGTACGTACACAAACACTAAACACTTCATTTAGCACCACGGCACATCAATCTAATCTCTGAACGTTTTTGACAGACTCAACCGTGGTGTGATTTGACAGGACGGATGAGAAAGGCGCTTACCTAATGAAGAAGGAGGCTGCTGCAGAGGAGGAAGCAGAGGGGGAGGGTCCGGTGACGGTTGCTGGGAGTCCCGGTTGGCTGGAGTTCCTCAGCCGGCAGGAAGTCAAGGTGCTGCTGCTGCTGGTGGTCATGGTGGAATCAGAGGCCTCCGCGGCTGAGACATCCCTGTCTGCTTCCCTCATCAAACCCTGAGCCTGTTGACACACAGATACAGGGATAAGACCACAACCATCACTTACACGTTTTACTGCTCCTGCCCACCTTCCTTCCACCCCATTTACTCCCCCTGTGCCACAGATGGACAGGCAGCTGCTGCAGCCAGCACTGGTTAGCGGGAGTCAGCAGTATCCACAGCAGAGAGCTCCCTGCAGAACAGCAAGGATGCTGCACCATTCATTGATTCTGGCAACACTCTTGAGGTTGCTCTGGCTGTAGCCTACTGTAATTAAGTGATAACCCACATTTAATTAGTAATTAAATCACAAGCGATTCACTTCACTCTGCTCCCGATTATATCTATACCTCCGCGGCTAATTTGGACCTTCACTCATCAGCAATGTCGTCCAATAGGTTGAGTTATACTTCAACTATCTAAGGATGAGTTTCTATGGGAATAAATGACATCAACAACAATTTGAGTAATGACGTTTGTTCTCTAAATGTTTACGAGGTATCGAAACTGTGCCTGCGTGGGCACACCCTGCCCTGGAAGCTTGTTGGTTGAAGGGTGAACAGAGGTCAGCTGCATTTGTTTCAGACCTTGGCCTCTGGTCACTAAAGACAGACACACTGGTTCGATCACCTGTAAATCTTCATTTTCATTTCCTTGGTCAAGGAAGTTATGTTTATTTGCTCGGTTTTTCTGTTTGTCATTGCGCAGGATTATTAAAAAAAAACTCCCAAGCCCAGATTCATGAAAACTGGGTAGACAGGTGTAACATGGCCATTAAATGTTTGTAGCCGATCCAAATTACTGGGTGGATTCTCAAACTAAGTTTCACTTGTTTCACTAGCATGCATTGTGTTAAAAACATGTGGTGTATTAATCATTTGAAAGAAAGTTCCAACTGGGAGAATTCCCGTAAATGCCAAATCAATTTGAAACCAAAACTCGGAAAGTCATAAAAAATGTTGGTACACTTTTAAATTTACTCTGCTCTTTGATGTAAACAGAAAAGGCAATTCAAGATGATCATTCTTTAATGGTGATAGAGCTTTTTCATAGTTAGTTAAAAGTGAATATGGCAGATTATGATTTAAAACCACACCATTAGAAGTCAGTCATACACTAAGCCTTCTAGCCCTCTTAGCCCAGTGGAGATGAAGCATAACGGTTTGGCTGGAGCTCTGGAGCCTGCAGAGGATCACTGATTGCTGCAGTCCAGCTGAAGGAGTGCAGAGACCTAATTATACAAGCCAAAATCCAACTCCGTGACTGCGCTTCAGCTGGAGTCACCATACTGACAAAAGGTTAATCCTCACCGGAGCCGCTAGTTTATCCTGCGAGACAATGATCAATAGCAGCTGACAAGAATAAGGTTCTGCGGTTTTTCAGCATCCGAAATTAAATAAATAAGGGCCAAAGTGTTCCTAAAAACATTTATAACACTGACACATGAACATTGTGTAATCAGCAACGACCTTGTATTGAGCACAACGCAGCACTGGAGCCTCAGTGCCATTTGACAGCAGATGTATTATAAACACAGTTCAGGGCCTCTGCATATTTACCTCACTGTTTGCCCTGGATTCATGCTTGACACCTAAAATTAAATCTTTTTTTATTATAAAGTGTCTGGCCATCTATTATCTGACATTTGTCAACACGGGCTGACAGCCGCACTATTTATATGCCAAGCCTGACATTTGAATGCTATACATCAGGATGTGAGGACATACTCACATTCTGGCATTCACATAAGAGGCTTGGCTATTGCTCTGCAGAGTGTTAGCTTTACATTCAGTACAATCTGTTACTATATTAAAGCACAGGCATTATCTTTTCCCAGAAAAGCTTCACTGACCATTTGTCAAATGATGGTCCTGCAAAGCATTTTCTCCATGCATTCCCACTTTCCCATTTCTTCCCTTTGAGCTTGTTATCAGTGTTAAGAATCACTGCTTTCTTTTAGAGGTCTGGCTTTGCTCCCCTGAGACATCATCATGGAGGTTAAGTCTGATATCAAGCTGCGGTATGTGAAGTTATGACTTGGAAAGTACACCACAGAAAACACAAACTGAAATGAGCCAAATACAGATCCTCACGCAGACGCCAGAGCGGAAAGCCTCACACCATGCTGGTGTCGATGACAGGTTAGGAACTCCCATTACACTCTGGCACGAAAGACTAGAGCACTTCACACGCAGCCGTACAGGAAGCTGATGTGTGTAGCTCATCAAATCTGTCACTGATTGAGTCGGTCAAGAGGCGGCACATTTCCAGGAGCACACAGGGACAGCTGTTTGTAGATGGGGTGCGGGCTAAAAATTGATAAACTATAAAAACACACACATATAGGTTCACACACACCCACAGACACACACTGGAGCTCATCACAGTTCCTATCAAAGAGTATTCCCCATGGTATTACAAAATGGGGACTTAAGCCCCTCAGCCAAGCTGCTGTCTGTAGCCTTGGACCTGCACTGGCCCTGATTCTGGCTGAAAAGAACAATCTATCCCCTGGTCAGGTAATTAGGCCATGTCAGTGGAGCCATGTGTGCTCGCCCGTTTGTACCGAGAGACAGTAATGAGCTGGCCTTCCACCCTTTAACCCCCAGCCCTCCCTGATCCTCTTGCCTTGGCTTGCCACTAGAAGGAATAGGCAGAAAAAAGAGGGGGGGAAAGAGACAAAGCGAGAGAGTTTTGAACATAATGGAGAGAGTTTAAAGACAAAAAAAAGTTCAGTGGAGCCCTAGCTGTGAAGTCTGAAGGTAGCATCGTAGCACCCTATCAGGAGACCATCTTCTCCCTCGATGCTGAGAGTACCAGAACTCCCCTGTGACCTTTGATCCCAGCGGTCAACAGACGATTACTGCGGAGTGAAATAGGCCTTGTGGTAATCTGGCTGTCGTGCTTGGCTGGCCTCTGTAACCTACAGAATGCAACTGAGGTGAGAATTGACTTATAGCGATACTATCATGTGAGAAAAGTACTTAAATAAAACACCCTGAACTCTCTCTGGGCAGAACTCACCAATCTATTTCCATTTTTCTAAATATGGTTTCTTAAGTTGGCAAGAATGTTCTTTCCCTTTCCTTCCTGTGTCCTTTTCTACTCTTGTCATCGAAGCTTTCTGTGGTACGTTGCCATGCGAGCACAGCTGCGCCAAAGAAACAGCAGCCAAGATCATCCATTGGGCTTCAAATTGGTGGCAATGGAGCCGACCACTGCAGCAGGCAACCAGTGGGCCAATAACGGAAACTCTCACGGGTCAAAAGCACTCTGTCTCTGTAGATTATCACACAAGTGACTGTGGATTTTTATGGTGTAAAAGAGAGAATTGCAGATTTGGTTCAATTGATTTCTTGTTTTGAATGGTAGCATAACAACACATTCAATGTCCTCATTCAGACAGCCAGTAACACCAGAAATTAATTCAGCAATTGTGAAGCTGGAGCCTATCAAAGTCTCTTGTTTTTTTTTCAAAAAGGCACATTTGGGTGCCATTTGCTCAATTCAAGGCAGCTACCCATATGAACCAGTGTCAGTCAATTACAAAGAGGCAGCCAGATAGTTTCAATTCCTACGACCACAAACATCATTCCAGATGTTAACCAGAGCCTTTTCTCAAATGGGAGATTCAAGGTGCCCTATAATGGGCTTTGCATGGGAGTGCCCCAGGCTCCCTGGTTGAGAGGATTTCTGTCCAACACACACAAAGTCCATATCTGCTTCTTTGCCTGAACACCGCCACATGCTTTCAAGAGGGAATCATGAATTGAAGCTTGTGCCTTTTGGCATCCTTGTGAGTGTGCGTGGGTTTTTGTCATTCTGAAGGGACTGGTTTTAATGAAAGAAACTAGCTGGAGAAAATAACACCCATTTCTGCTGTGTTTGTAACTTTATGTCCTGAAGCGACATTTCTTTCTGTCCAAGCAGGGCCCGAACCACAGCTATGTGGCATTGATGAACTCATCCCATCTCTAAGGGCCACTAATTGCTTTTTAGACACATAGATGGAGAACACCAGGCAGCCTCTCCCTTCTGTGCCAGGCTGTTTGATTTCCCCTAGATTGCGTACATGCAGTTAAAAGCTTTTGATGGCCTCCCATAAACCATTTCTAAAGGCATTTGTTGACATAAAAGGGAGGAGTGCAAATCTGTCTTCAATTGTCAAGCAGAAAGAAATAACACTGCCGAGACTCGTAACAGGCTGCAGTTATCCACAGAACAAATGGCAGAATTACAGTTTATATTTATGAAGGGAATTATGGTGCAAGAACCAGACAATATGAGCGCATGCTGTTTGATCTGCACACCTCGGGAAGTGAAAGGTTGTTTAAGGTAGGGAAAGACACATCAGGAAGAAGTTACATATCACCAGCCAGAAATGTGCTCTAAGGCGCTAAAATCCCCTGTTTACACTTATAAAGCTTATGTTAGTGTGAAAATACATCATCTCGAGTTGTAAACAAGGCACAGCATGATCCCATGACACCAAGGGCAAAACTCCGGATCATTCCAAGTCTCTTGGACATCAAACGAAGCACAGACTAATGCACAGACGAGTTATGGTGAGGCTTTGGGGCGGTCATTTAAACTGCCCTTGAGGAGAAGGTCGGCAGATTAGTGTTGTGATGACCTCTGACCTCAGATCACTCAGACTCCTTGACTACTGAGGAATGAGAGGTCAGCTCTCCTGCAGAGCTCTGACTCACCAATCCTCTGCAGGGCTTTTAAAAGGTCTGAAATGCAGTCTGATGAACAATATGACATTAAATGTACTTTATGTTCCGTTATTTTCTTTCAGATTTGGTTATTTGTCAAATTAATTATCACTTTTTGTCAGGATTGCATTTGTCCTCAAATGTCTCCTTTATCTTTTTTATGAATTACTGTCAAAGTGTATGATGGTCTTATGGCCCTAAAATCTAATGTCACAATTACATTTTGTTAAAAAAACTAAAATGCATATTGCATCACTGATAGGACACGCCTCTTTTTAGTGAACATCGTTTTTAGTGCGATACAATCCATTTTAAACAATGAATAAATCATAAGCCCCCGCTGCTTAAAAAAAAGATCAATAATTAAAAACATTTTCCTAAGAGCAACCTGGACAGCTTTTTCAATTAACTTGTGAGGAAATTAATGATAATCCTGATAACCCAAATTCACCTTGATCAATTTATTGTGAGTGTTTTTTATCCAGATCCACTTTAAATGGATATTGCCACATCCTAACTGTTCATCGTCTTCGATTGGTGCTGTTGCACTCCTACTTTTTCTAATTTTAAACAATTAAAATGCATGAGATTTAATACAAAATTGCAAAGGTAACATTGAAGACATACCGGTTTAGGCTGAGGGACGTAGTTGTTGACCCTGGAGACGCTCCACACGCCCTCGAGGTACTGCTGTGCCTGAATGGTGACGGAGCCCACGGATCCACTGATCTGCCCTCCTGCCACCGTCACCTGGACACTTGTCTTCGGCCCTGAGGTGACGGAGGGGCTCTGCGACCAGCCTGGTACCCTGTGCCGCTCCCCCAAGGGCAGGACAGAGTGGGCAGCTGGTTGTCCTTTAGACAGCTGTTTAGCATGGACACTGGAGGACACAGTGTATCTAGCAGGCTGTGGTAAAAAGGATTTAGTTGGACGCGCTGCCATGTCTGAGCTGAGGGTGAGGGTGGGAGCGTGGAGCGTCTGCAAGGCCTCCTGCTTCAGTTGGTGGAGAGGGGTGGAGCACACCTGGCAACAGCTGACAGCTTCATGGCTCCCGGGTCTTTGGAGCTGCTCGAACAGGAAGGATGCATATCCAGGGTCCTGCAGAGAACACAGACACAGAGAGGGCCGTTAACACAACTCTAGCAAGCTTAACTCTCACTATCTAATCTTTTCAAAGGATTTCCTGCATGTTGTTCATATTTTCCAAGCTCGGCAGTGGTCTGCTGGCAGTGTGGTCCTTAACGGCCTCTTGGGACCCTCACACCCCCTGCTTTAACCACTTCCTTTTTGTTTAGGGATGGTTGTTTGTTTAGACAGAGATGCTTTGCCTGCATGCAACTAAAGACTGCTGATCAGGTTCACCAGGCATGTGCTTATTTCACATTGTCTGCCGGGAAGCTGAGACCAAACAAACCAAACGAGAGGAGACTCTGAAATAACGCTCGGAAGGGATTACTTGAAGATCCCACAGAGACATTCCTGACAAAAAAACAACAACAAGCAAGATATGTAAGAGGGGCCTAGCCTAGCAGATTTCAGCTTATTACTGCTTTAGTGACGATGTCCAGTGGAGTTTTGTTCTTTTACTTTGTCTCTGCGAAGGCTCCCGGGTGTCCAGCTCTGCTTGGGAGAACTGACAAAAGGAAAACAACAGCTGAGGGGATTGTAGTGCCCAAAGCCATATAATTTACATACGATAAGTGTCCCAGCGTGAAAACATATGATAAGCTACCAAATGTGAAAATAACCACATCCACCAGGAAGCTTGAGGCACCCAGAGCTATCAATGAACTATTCAAATCCTAAGTGAGGGAGGAACATAACTTTATCTGTGTTTTAGGTAAACAAACACTCACACCAACACAAACACACACACACAGACAAACAGTCTCTTTAGAGGCATAAAGGGGCAGTGGGCTTCTGCCCAGCGGAGTCGTGGCCTAAGACAGGAGCCCACAGCACATACATAAATGTTTATGAGGCCTTTGCTCCGTGGAACCTCCGAGGTGATCAGGAAGAGTGAGGCAGCAGGGAAACAGCAATCCTCTCCCTTAATGCAGTGCCACTTAATACAGCTAACCCAATAGACATAGAGACCAAAGAGGCAGGCTGGGGAACTCTAAATCTCCTCGCCATGAAAGCAGCTCAATACGGAGACTTTTAGACGACCTTTCTCTGCAAACACGATCAGAATTAATAGCTTGATCACGCCTTACAGAAAATGGACACATGTCATCTGTACATTTCCGTTATTCTGAAAAATGGACAGAAAGCGGTATCCACTGATTTATGCTCTATGGCGTATAAGGATAATCTCTATATCATCACTTTACTTAAAGGGCCCATGTCATGGCCATTTCTACTGATCATAATTCCATTGTTGAGGTCTACTAAAATAGATTTATATTGTGCAATTTTCCAAACTCACATTGGTTTCTCATACAGCATCTCTGTATAGTATGTGTATTCACTCTCTGTCCTACACGGCTTGTTGGAGCTCCTGCCCCCCCCCCTCCCTGTGAGCCCAGTGGCCGTCTGCGAGACAGCGAGACACAGCGAAACCCAGCCCGAAACACACACACACCCGCAGCCTGGCTAGGAGTTTATGTGTGTGCTTAGGCTGAGTTCCGCGGTGTCTCGCTGTCTCGCCGACTCCACACCAGTGAGCCAGCTCACACTGTCCCGCTCCTCGCAGCAGCGAGCCTCGCAACGTCCCGCCGAGTGTGTGTGTGTGTGAGGAAGTCCGCGGATTGGTCCAAACGTAACGGCTCTGCGGACGTAACGTAACGTCACTATACTATACCCGAAATACGTCACTATAGAGTGGCGAAGTCCCTCCCACTTACTTCCGGGGTATGGGACCTTATGTCGGAAAAATTATGCATTGAAGTCAATGGGGAGAGAAAACTTATCTTTCGATCCCGTTTGAATTGTGCCATGAATTACACATATGATGTTTGTCAATCTTAAAAAATCATTTCCATGTCAAAAAAGTCACAGTTTGTCGTAAAACTGTTGAAATATAAGACTATGAAAAATACGTAACTAGAAAGACTACAAATCCCAGAGTCGCGTAAGTGATGTCACAATTGTTTACCTCCACCATTCAGATACCTAAGATCAGCGCAATATAGATATAATCTATCTATATGGCGCTGGCTAAGATAAGATAACTTTAACAAGATGCCTGTGTGCTTAGTACCAGGTTGTTATTATACCAGCAATGGGTCTTGCTCGTTCTTTTGCTTCCCGTCTGATGAAACGACCAGGAGTGGCTTGATCAAGTTAGCTACCTAGCTAGTAGCTAGCACGTTAGTTAGCATTACAGCCTTGTCATTTTTATTAGCCTTAACATGAAGTAACATTAAGTAACCCAAAATGTTAAACAGTAAGAGTAGTAGTCATATTTCGTGAACCCTTTGAATAGTACTGTCACCGGTGTGATCATTCTATAATACACCATTTAATTCCGGGGGAGAAATGCTAACGCTAACGTTAGCATCGGCGATCTTTTCTACTTCATGCTATCTGCACAAATGGTTGACATTAAATATTAAAACGACCAGGCAGTTCAGAGAGAATCAAAGGAAGGCAGGCAGGCAGCTTTGCATGACATTCTTCAGGACGTGTTTCATTGTGGTGATAGTCAATCGTTTGTTGACATGACAGTAGTGACGGCCATCTTGGTGACGTGTGTGGTTGACCAGAGATGTAGTTCATTTAGCGTTTCACACAAACAAATGTGTTACTTCACAGTTTTACGACACATTTTTTTTTTTTTGACTTGCAAAATTATCTTTTAAATTGACAAACATCATATGTGTAATTCGTGGCACAATTCAAACGGGATCGAAAGATAATCTTTCTCTCTCCATTGACTTCAATGCATAACTTTTCCGAAATAAGGTCCCATGGGGCTCAACCGGAAGGGGAGGGACTTCGCCACTCTATACCCAAGAAGTAAACAATGGAAAAAGAGAAATCTCCAACGAGGCGTTCTGGAGCAGCATAGGCAGGTCTTTTCTGTGTTAGAGTTTTACTCGCTACAGGGTGTACTTTGAGGGTTTGTGACTCTGCAGACCGTTTACATGCAGAAAAAGCTACATAACACACAAGGGGACGGGTAATAACCGGAAAAGCATGACATGGGACCTTTAAAGGAGAATCATGTAGAGGACTGTAACTCGGCTGGCCTGGTGTCCACTGAATACTTCTGGGTAATGATTTACTTTATTGGCTACATGCTCGACACATGGACATGCACAACATAGGAATACACTCAGGATGTAGGAAATCCCATAAATCCCCCAACGAAAGATGAGCTGACAGTAGATCAAGTGCAGTATGGTATCAAGTGAATGTTGATGCTATAGCGAGGAATGGATTTAAATGTAAGAAGCTTATAATAGAAAAGATCAGGATATGACAGAGCTTTAAAAAAAAAAGAAAGAAGGTATCTAATGAAACTAGATCCTGGCATGTGAACAATCTCCACGCTCAGACAGGATTTTTAAGCACAAGACAGGACAGTTCCGCTGAAATACTATGAAAGAGTCTATGACAAATTGGAGCTAAAGAAAACACCTCTGGCTGCCTTCTTCACAGTCTAGTCTGGATTCATGTATATTATTCCTGGACAGGAAATTGGAGCGAAGTCAAAACCAGTCAACTCCGCCCTTCCATCACCTCTCACCCTTTACCCTCCAAACACCCCTTACCCACCTCGGGGCACTGGTAGATGGAAGAAATCAATTTCCCTCTCTCTCTCCATGCATTGTTAGGTGTTGATTTAGGAGAGCTAATAAAAAGACACACAAAGCTGCGCCCATCTGCTATTCAGTTAAGATTCTGGAGGTTAGAGAGCGGGGCTTCTCCTGTAAAACTGTCTGTGAGCTTTATGCCCAGCGGAGTGAATAAAGGGTCAGGGCCACAGGGCTTATGAGGATGATGGCGCCCATGATGAGGACAATGATGTTGATGTTGCGGAGGAGAATGATGTGGGTGTGATGAAACTCAAGGCCACAGAATCAATCTTGATATGCCACATGAGAGGTGGAGAAGTGGATATCAAAAAAAGACATCAAGAATGGTAGAAATCTTAAACATCGCTCAGGGAATGTAGGTTAAGATATACTTATATAGAGATCTAACTAGGGCGGCAACTAACCGTTGTTTTATTACCGCTTAATTTCAAATAATTTTCAAGATTAATGGATTAATCATTTGGTCGTTAACATGTCAGGTAAGGTGGAATAGATTTCTTAAAGTCCAAGGGGATGTCTTTATATGTCCAAAGCCCAAGGATAATGCCTTCAATATGAAAAAGAATCCAGACATAAGTAGGAAACCTTCATATTTGAGTCTGAAACAGCATTTTTTGCATGAAAAACTACTTCCGTGATTAATTGATTATCAAAAAAGTTGGCAATTATTTTTCTGTTGGTCGATTAGTCAATTCACCATTGCAGCTGTAGCTTGCTTATACTGTAAGTTAAGTAGTTTACTCTTTTGTTTATTTTAGCTACCAGGTCCAAGCTAACTGCTGAAGAGCATCTGCGTCAGCATAACGTGGAGAAGACGAAACATATAATGCAGGATCACACCCAGCCCCTGAAGCCATATTGTTTCTTTTATCATCCATATGATATATAACTGACAGGTGCAAGTGGGTGTGAAGAGCAGCACTGCTGGGGAGAAGCATGGGATGCACGGCATCAACACAAACCAAATGTTCAAAGCATTCCCCGAAAGGCGTGGAGCTACTTGAGGGCTCTGACTCCTCGGCCATTGTTCTGTACAAGTGGGAGATGGTTTTGGTTTTCAACCCGAGGTCTATCCGTAGAGAGAGTCAAACTGCACGAGCGAGGATAAGAGGACAGAGAGAGAAAGACATGTGGAAGGAGGTGGGCCGGGGTTGTGGACCCTGCCTGGAGGCTTGTGGGTGGTTGTGTTGGTTTACTGCCTGTCAGCACTGATCTTTATTAAACTCTAGGGACGAATGTAGTCAGATGCCATGGCCTTATTATGGAAAGGAGGTGTGCCGAGCTCACTGGGGAAAGAAAGCCCTGCCTCTGGAATGAGCCCTCTGCTGCCCTCAG